TTCTAGAAATCTATCCAATAGATAAATGTGTAAAGGGGCATATGTGCAAGGTTTTTTATTGCAAAATTGTTTGTAATGGCAAAAGGTTGATAATAACCTAAATGTCCAATAGTTAGGGACTGGATAAATAGATGATGGAACATTCATACAAGACACTATATAGGCTAAGAAAGGGTGCTCTTTATGAACCATTATGCAAATATCTTAAATAAATAAGTAAATAAGTGAAAAATGCAAGGTACAAAAGAGTATGTAATATTCTACCATTTGTGGAAAAAAGTAAGGGTGAAAAGTAAATATACAAATTAATTTGTATAATTATATAATTATGATCATATTGGAACAATCTACATGAAGCTAGTAACACTGGTTGCCTCAATGTGGAGTAGCTGGGACAAGGATTGCAAAGAATATACTGGATTTGTACACTCTGAATTTTGAATCATAAGAATGTATTATATTATAAAGAATTTTTCTATGTGCCTGTCCTAGGGTCCAACAATTTCACTTTTAGGAACTGATCCTTTGGGGAAAGAATTAAATGATTGTGCAAATTTTCATAGATAAATTTTAAATATTATTATGTGACAAATAGTAAAAATTTTATAAAATTTTCCATATTATAAATTTTCATTTATAATACAGAAAAATAAGAAATAATTTATACGTTCAAAAACAGGCATTGATTATAAAAACATTCTACTTTGAAATTATGAAATACCATGTTGCCATTTAAATGATCTGGGAGAAGTACATTCATGGTATAGAAAAATGTTCATGAGACTTTGCTGAGATTTTAAAAGGCAAACAAACAAACAACATGTATTGTATTTTTTCATTTAAAAAACATTTATAGGGACATAGAAAAAAGACTGGAATGTGGTTTAACAAAATTTGACAATATTTCTCTGATATAATTATGGTATTTTTATCTCCTTTCAATTCTTCTATATCTTCTGATGTTTTCTCTTTTACAATGAGCATGTGTTATTTATATAATTGTTTTTTTTTAAGCAGGGAACAGATTGTAGTTTTTAATAAACGCACTTTCTACTAAAAAAATAAATAGTTCCCTACAGAAATGGCTGGCGCTCCACTGACTTCAGAAAGATATCTAAGAGGTCCATCGATGGGAGAATTTGGACTTCAAAAAGAATGACAGCAAAGGATTGCATCTTAGGAGGGCGTTAGGGATTCATTACCCTGAAAACTGATAAATAAAAGAATTAAAAGTTTATCCTGGCTCTTTTATACAAATTGTATCTCAATGTAACCACTATTTGGTGAGGGGTAGTTTGTCTTTATGGATGTATTCCAGCTAATAAATGAGGAAGGAATGATAGAATTAGAATACTACCATTTGCAAACCCTTAATGAAATAATAGATTTAGGTAATGATCATTAATGGCCACTAATGCTACAAAAAAGAAAGACATCCCAATTATGATGTGTCTCCAGATAGAAGTACCCAGCACCACCTATGAAATTTTTTTGCCCAAGAACCCAAATGGATCAGATCAGAACTCTTGACCTAACCACTTGTTCACAGGAAGTACAGGGGACAGAAGAATATGCTAAACTGTCATCAGCCAATGTAATCTGCCAAATACAGAATGTGGGAAATTATATAGGACAAATCATCCAATTTCTTCAAAAAGAAATAGGAAAAACAACTTATGAATAAAGGAAACTTGAGAGACATTTTGACCAAATGTAATGTATGAATGTTTGAGCCTTGATTAAAAAAAAACTAAAAGTAAAATATCGTTCAGGAGTCAACTGGGAAATTTGTATGCTTGCTGTATATTCAATGATATTGAAGAACTATGGAGAATTTTCTTAAATTGTGCTAATATTGTGATTATGTTTTTGCTTTTAGAGGTATATATTAAAATGTTACAAATAAAATGATATGTTGTGTGGGCAGAAAAAGTTTTCTTTCTATCCTTCTAAATTCTGGCTGGACTAATAAATTAACATGAGACAGATTAAGAGGAGAAAATTACCAAATCTATTATGTATGTATATATGAGGGCGTAAATATATGAGATCCAGGACACATTGGGCAGTTGAGGTGTACGAGATCTGACAATTAAGTTCGTGAACTCACTCTAGAAAAAGTGTTACATACCTCATTGCTGAATATAACTATGGTCACCTTCTAAGTACTCCCCTTGGGAAGCTATGCACCAATGCCAGTGCCTAGTCCACCCTTCAAAGCAGTTTTAGAACTCTTTTTCTGGAATGGCCATCAGAGCTGCCGTCGTGTTACCCCTGATGTCCTGAATGTCATCAAAATGTCTTCCTTTCAATATTTCCTTTATCTTAGGGCAAAGAAAGAAGTCATTGGGGGCCAGATGAGGTGAGTAGGGAGGGTGTTCCAATACAGTTATTTGTTTACTGTCTAAAAACTCCCTCATAGACAGTGTCATGTGAGTTGGTGCATTGTCGTGATGCAAGAACCATGAATTGTTAGTGAAAAGTTCAGGTCCTCTGACTTTTTCACGCAGACTTTTCAGCACTTCCAAATAGTAAACTTGGTTAACTGTTTGTCCAGTTGGTACAAATTCATAATGAATAATCCATGATATCAAAAAAAGGTTAGCAACAGTGTTGCTACAAGTTCTCAAACTTAATTGTCACACCTCGTAAATGCCACTCTAGTCAAAGGGCAGGGAGGCAGGATTTCAAGGGAATGATAGGCAATTCATAGGTAGATGAGGAAGGGCAAACATGTGGTAAACAAATCTTTTCGCCCAGAAACAGTGGCAAACAGCAGGGAGTCTAACAAAGAGGCTGGCTTGCATTCTCCCAGTCTGCCACACTTAATTTCTTACATTCTAAGGTTCCCTTCCTGAAGCAGGTTTTTCTATCTGAATTCCTGTAAGCAAGTAAGGGGTGGGGGGAGTCAAAAGGTTCTTTCTGAGTCTTTTGTTTCTTAAAAATAACCAGCTTAGGGCTGGCCGAGTGGCGTGATGGTTAAAAGCTGGCTTAGGACGCCAGAGGGCCAGGGTTCGGATCCCACATATGAGGGCCAGTGACACTGCTCTCTACAGCTAAGATGCTGAACAACAGCTCAACCTGGAGCTGGGCTGCCATGAGTCCAGTGGCCTGTGATGGCATAGGCTGCAGCCCCTGCTGCAGTGAGTTGCCATGGGCTACTGTGTATAGCCAGCAGCCAGGGTGAGCAGCCAGCAGCCGCAGTGAGTATCCGTCCAGAAGCCGGCGACTGATCTGCCTCGTCTGGGAAGAATGCAATGATGGTGCCAACTTGGGCTAGTGAAGCAACGTCCTCCATAACTAGACTGAAGAACAAAACGACAGCAACTTGTCTGTTCCCCTTCCCCCAATTCCTCAGCACTGTTCCCATCCCCCAAATCCCCAATAAAAAAATCTTAAAAAAAAAAAAGAGATATTCCTTTAAAAAAAAAAAACAGCTTAAAATAACCAGTGTCCCAAAAGGGCATATTTGCGGGTGGCAAGCTCTGTTTTCCCTCAATGTATGGGATTTCCTTCAAAATAATCCAAAAGGGGCAAGTGGAAGTGGCTGGGCGTATACTTAAAAGGAAACTAGCCATGAGTGGTCATTGTTGAATCTGTTATAAGGGCATAGAGATTCATTATACTAGTCTCTTTACTTTTGGAAACATTTGCAATATTCCATAATAAAACTATTAAAAGAAAACGACACCTGCCTCACCCCTACCCCCCTGCCTAAAGAGTGTGGTGGGGTGAGGCCTGTCAACTTTTCTTCTGGGACAGTAGGGAAGGGGAATTGAAGAGACTGAGTGGCACTTGGGAGCTAGTATAGGGATGAAAGCCCTCAGGGTTTGAGTTGGTGGTGACAGCTTTGGATCATGGATCCAGCGGAGGCCTAGAGCTGGTAATGAAAAATAAAAACGAAAAGCTTTTGGGGTAGACCGCAACAGATGTAAGGCCTGTTCTATCAGCCTGTTGGACTTCTCTGAGCAACAAGCTTGTCAGCATCATGTGTCCTTAACTCTGAAACAGTAAAAAGAGCTATTTGCTCATTTAACAAACACACATGACAGTCTGCTAGCTGAAGTGGGCTTATGAAAACAGCAAAGACACAATTCTGGCCGTCAGGAAACTCACAATGTTATAAGAAGGCTAAAAAATGCATTTGGAACATCGTACTGCTGGTACAACATTGGAGAAGCGCCTAAGTTTGCCTTTTGGAAGCAGGGAAGCTTTCACAAAAGAAATAGCTTCTAAGTTAAAACTTGAAGACTAAGTTGGTGTTTGCCAAGAGCAGAAGGATTTCAGGAAGAAGGAAATGAATTTGCAATACATAGCATGAAACCGTAAACGCTTGTTCTGGGAACTACACGCATATTTGTTTTGCTGGAGCACAAGGAGGGGGTCCTATGACCTGTCCCCTAGCCCGCCACGACCACCATACTTTATCTCCCTTCTAGGCCTAGGTCAGGGGAAGGCCTTTAGTCTGAGATCCTTTCAGCCTTCTAAAACTAGTTTCCTGATAGGAAAGGGAGAGGAGACTCCAACTTCAAGGAAAACTTATGGTAACAAACAGGGAAGGTGAGAAGGTTTAAAGGCCCAACAAAAACACCTGGTGTGAAGGGCAAAAACCTACTTCCTACAATTATAGACCCTTGAGCAATGAAGGAAGATGAGTCAGAAATTTTCTTAACTTCCTGCAGCAGCAAGGCTTTGCATCCAGGGCAGATTTATATTACCAGTATTGACTTCCAAACAACAACAAATCCTTCTCTCTTTTTATTTATTGCTGTACAATTTAAGTTTGATGCACTTATTTCAAAACTACAGATCATACATAAACGATATAATAAAAGGGTTGTGAGTATACTATTTGAGAAAAGCCATAAGGAATCAATTAACATTACAAAACTGTGAACAAAACGTATCTGGAAAACACGTGTGTAGCTTTTTTTTTTAATTGGATTTTTTAAAGGTTTCAGACAAGCAAGGCCTTTGCCACGTGCCTTGCACAGTAGTAAATTCTTCGTAAACATCCGCTGAGTGGTTTTACACAATCGCGCTCCCACGCATCACGAAGAACCAACCCTCCCGTTTCTCGGGCGGTCACTTCCCCTGGTTTCGAGGACTCCAGGTCACGGGGACCAACGTGGCGCAAGCATCGCGTGGGGTGCCCACACCCGCTCCTCGGTCCGCAGACTCCTCGGGGTCCCGGGACCACCCAGCTGCGGGTCCACTGGAGACTGTCTCGGGCACTAAGTGGGGAGGAGCCCTCACGCACCTCGCCAGCGGCCGGGCGGAGGAGAGGCCAGGAGCCCCGCCCCTCCCGTCGCCCCGCCCCCGTCGCTCCGCCAGGTGCGCGTGCGCCGCTACCGCGTCGCGCTCTTTCCGGGCTCCGCGGCGAGCGGTCTCGTCTGTGCAAGTCGCGGCGTTCTCACACTCGCGCGCCCTCAGGTCCCCGCGAGTCGCCCGGCCCCCAGCCCGCCCTGCTCCTCATCAGCCCGGCGGAGGGGCCATGGCGCAGCGGCGGCGGCGGCGGCGGTCCGAGGCCGGCTGCGGAGCCCGCGGCGCGCTGGCGCTGCTGGCGTTGGCCCTGTGCGCGCCCGGGGCGCGGGGCCGGGCGCTCGAGTGGTTCTCGGCTGTGGTGAGCACCGAGTACGTGGACCCACGGACGAACCGGACCGTGTGGAGCGTCTCGGAGAGCGGCCGATTCAGCGACAGCTCGCCCAAGGAGGGCGCGCTGGGCCTGGTGGGCGTCCCGCACGCGGCGGACCGCGACCCCGAGGGCTGCGCGACCGACACGCGCTTCCTTGTGTCTCCACCCTGGGTCGCCCTGGTGGCGCGCGGAGGCTGCACCTTCAAGGAGAAGGTGTTGGTGGCAGCGCGGAGGAACGCCTCAGCGGTGGTGATCTACAACGAGGAGCGCCACGGGAACGCCACCTCGCCCATGCCCCACACGGGTGAGCCGGAGCCGCGGGCGGTGGAGTGGTGGGGTCTTTGCAGCGCGGTCATGGCCGACGGCCTTCTGGTCTTCCATGGACCTCCTGGTGGCCCCTGGCGGTCCGGAACTATTAGGGAAGCACTAGATTTGCTTGGTGTGCCCCCGGTGGTGCTGCGGTTAGGAGGGCGGCCAGCCTCCCGAAAAGATTAGATCTTTGTCTTGGGCCCTTCAGGTGAGGTGCCCTCCAATGGGGAGAACAGAGAAATTAAAACCCACAGAAGGAGGAGTTGTGGTTCTAACCTGGAAAGTCTTAGGATAGCTCATCATAGGTCCCTTTCTCCTCAGCGTCTCGCAGAGTCAGGTCGGGTAGGAACCGAAGCTCTCTGAACGAGCGCACTCCAGGGTCTGGCTGTCCCTTCACCAGAGTAAAGTGGTGGCTTGGTGCCACTGTGGTTTCTTGACTTGCATAAAACGTCTCTGAATATTGTAAACTGAATAAGAAAATCTGGATTTAACTCTTGAGTCAAAAAGCCAGGACTTAAATTCGGGCGTGTTGTCTCATTTACTAAATATAATATAAAGGTTATGATCCTGGCTCCACTGCTAATCAGATTTGATTTCAGATGAAATTTTTAAAGCTGTCTTCAAGAAAAAAATCTTGCTCTCCCGTGAGGTGAACCTTCCTACGTACACACATTCCAAGGCACGAGGTTACATTTTCAAGCAGTAACGGTAGTTTAAAAGTCTTATTTTGTAGGAGAGCATCCTCAGAACTGAATTCTGAGTGCTGTGTGATGACCACACAGCAGAGAATGTATGTCTCTTCTGCCTTAGAAGAGAGCTCATAAGTCATTCTAAACTTAAGTGTTATTAAAATTTCTTTTTGAAGTCCTGCATCCTTTTTCCTGTACTTTTGTTTTTCACTCTGTTTTGGCTTCCTGAATGCAAGTTCAGAACCTAACTGTAAAGTGAGGACAGAAAAGTGACTTTGCATGTGGCCTGTTGTAGCAGAGTGGTAGGAAAAGAAGTCCGTTGAGAGGTGAGGAAGTGGAGGACTGTTAGAACAACTCTTCCAAGAAGGTTGACTGGCGGGGTTTGGAGGTGCTGAGAATCCAGCAGAAACTGTAGGGCCAGGGAGGATGGAAGGATGGACGGTGGTGAGGCATATTTGAAATTGGATGGGAGTGATCTGGTAGAGACGTAGCAGAGAGTAGAGGCAACTGAAAGATGAAAGAGTCAGGCCTTTGAGAAGGCAGGAGGCGGTGTCCAGGATACTTATGGAGGGGGATTGGCCTCAGATAGTACAGGGAGTGTTCCCCAGTTGCAACAGAAAGGAGAAGTGGGTTTGGAGAGGAAGTGGAACAGATGGCCATGTGATAGAAACAGCGGTGCAGTTATTCCAATGATTACAGATCTGCCTAATTGTAATTGTCGTACCCAAGCCATGTTTCCACAAAACTCGCATGAAAAGTCCTGTCAGATTTCACATAGCATTCCAGATACAACCTATCGCTAGTGTTCCCCAAGTTTGGTAGTTTTGTCCAAGAAAAGAGGTTCTCTGATTCTGGGTCTTTGCAATCACTTGTCAGTCTACAACATCTTAATGTAGACCTTTTCTTTCCAATGGCAGGCCTACAATTTTCTAAATCTGTTTACTGATTTTTTTGGTAATGGAGCTAACATCTCCTCAGGCTCAGAGTGCTTACTCTGACCATAGTTCAGCAACCTTTCTTGCTTATATTACTAACATAGAGTTTATCCAGACCCAGAAAAACACCTCATTGGTGTTTACTTTAAATCCTCTCAGTGTGAGCTCCTGTTCCCATTATCAATGTCTATTCTAGTTTCTTTACTGGGAGAAAAAGTCTGTCTGAGGATAAAGACAAAAGGAACCGCAATTTTTTTTAAATGTGTAAAAATTACCCATTGTGTAGACACTGTGCTTGGTATTCTCCATACAACAGCGCACGTTATCCTCCTAACAGCCCTTTTAGGTGGGTAATTTAACCCCATATTACCAGTGAGGAAACTGACTCTCCAAAGAATATAAATAACTGGCTCAAGGGAACAAGGTGATGTATGGCAGATCATTCTTTGTTGTGGGGCTGTCCTGGGCATTATAGGATGTTTAGCAGCATCCCTCACCTCTTAATCATTAGATTCCAGTAGCACCTCCCCAGTTCTGACAACCAAAAATGTGTCTAGATGTTGCCAAATGTTCAGGAGGAGAGGGGATGACAAAATTATCCACCTTTTTTGAACTGCTGACTTAAAGAGAGATTAATTTGGTAGCACATTGACTAATGGATTACACAGAGGAAAAGGTGGAAACAGAATCCAGTTAGACTGGGGGTCTGCAAACTGTGGCTCGCGAGCCACATGCGGCTCTTTGGGTAAGTTCCGTCTTAAAAGTTTGCCGACCCCTGGAAGAGCCAATACTGTTCCTCACAATAATTTAAAAATTATTCAAGAGCCATAAATATATTTTTACATAATCACCATTATGTGAATAATATCCTTTACAAATTTTATAAATGAAACTATGATAGTTTTATATTCATTTTCAATTTTACGTCAGAGCTTGTGACTTAAGAGCCGCAGTTTGTCGACCCCTGGGCAAGTCCAAGTACAAATATAAGGGCCAGTACTCTAGTGGTGACTGTAGAGATGGGGAAAAATGACCCTTATAGAACCTGGCCCAATTGGGAAAAAGTGACCCTCATAGAACCTGGCCCAATTGGGGACAAGGGTACAAATAATGTATCATGATTTTTGAGAATGGAATAAAATTATGAATGGGATTAAGTCAAAAGAGGAACCAGCTTTGACACACATGAATTTGAAGTGTTTACACAGACCCTCAGAAGGTACCTCAGACTTAGGTTTCTTGTATTTTGCCAGAATATGTCTAGAGCCACGGTAAAAACCTCAGATTCAGTGCTTCTCAGTATTCCTGTATCACACTGGTGCCCTACAAAACAGGTAGAGATGGCTGCTTGTCAGATTGAATCATGACAGTCTTGGGGAGAAAGAATATCTCCAGTTCTCTTTAAACCTGTTGCTTGACTACTAGAATCCAGGGTAAGATATTTTGGATTAATATCAGTATTTTATTGTGGCTCTAAAATAAATCATGACTTGAAGATAATATTTTGTCAGAACAACTGTAAGTACTGTTATACTAGTGCCTGGAGTTGATTCCTTTTAGCAGACAGATAATGAGCCAAGTGTTGTGCCTGCTCAGGGACAGACATGTGGAAGACACATTTTCTGCCTTTGAGTAGTTTGCGGCCTAGTGAGAGCGAGAAACAGAACTTTCCAGACAGAATGGTTTGGGCCTTGACAGAGTTATGTGTGCAAGTACTTAGGAAGCATAAAGGAAGGAAGGATATCTGATGCAAATATTACAAGGATGACTAAGAGTTAGTTTGAACAAGATGGGTAAAAATTGATACCAAGTCAAATAATTAAAAAAAGCTTTCCTACAGTATTCACCTTAGTGTGTTTCTTGTTGATTAGTAAATAGGATGGTTCTAGCTGAAATCTTGTCATGGCTTTTTAGGAGTGGCACTTTCATTTTGTGAACAATTGCTTACTACCATATTTCCCCATGTATAAGACACACCTTTTTTCAAAAAATTTGGGGTCTAAAAACTGGGTGCGTCTTACACAGTGGTTGTAGATTTTTTTTAACTTGCATTTCCCGCTGAGGACAAGGCAATATATGAAGACAGTGATTCGTTATCAGACACAGATGAGGACATGCTCATGGTTGGGAGTTTTGACAGTGATGAGGAGTTGTATGAATTTTATGATGAATAAAACTTGAGTTCAGTAACTTTATGTAATACATTTTTTTTCAAATTTCGGGCCCCAAAATTAAGGTGCATCTTATACATAGGAGCGTCTTATACATGAGGAAATACAGTAAGTGCCAAGTACTCAGATTTTAATTTGGAATGTATTTTGGTGCTGTAGGAATACAGAAATGGCATCTTACAGCCTCACAGAAGGCGGAATTAACTAGGATAGTTCCCAGAAAGATTGAGTTTTGAAGAACAAGCTGTTATAGAGAAGATGTCTCTGGGCCTGTGTCATGTGCGGTATGGGTGGCTGGTTATAGGACATTCTGGGTGGCACATGAGCACTGTAAAAGGCCGAAGGTCAGAGATAAAGTAATGCATTTAGGAGAACTGCCAAGAGTTCTCAAGAAGACTGTTGAGTAGTATATTCAACAAATACAAAACACTTTTGAGCAAGCCAAATTATCCAAAACATAATGTTGCGTCTGCTCGCTTACGGCAAAGAAGGAATTCACAAGTCAGGTAAAAATATAGTAGGAAGATTTATTAAAGTAGGAGAAGAGTTTGCTGGGCAGTCTGCTGGAAACTACTGCATCGAGTCTTTGTTTGGTCTCAAGTTCTGTCTTTTCTAACAAGGATGTCAATTGCTTTTGCCTGCTTGGCTTTGGGGTGGGGGAAGCGGTTAAGCTGGTTGTCGCCACTTTTGCTTACATTATGTAAATTTAAGTTGGAGCTAGTAGTAGATCACAAACAGACGCAAAACCTCGCCCAAGTCTCCAGGGCCTGCATGACTGAAGTAAACAGAACTGATGAAAACTGCTTAGTCAATGTATAGGAAGCAGAATCATTAACATTTGGTGGAAATGAAGGGAAGAAAAGAAAGCTTTCAAAAAGTCCCAAGCTAAATTACACTTGTTAAATTATACCAGAGATCCAAATCTCAAAATAGAAGATTTAGTGCCACCATTACAATCCCCTTTCTTAACACATAATTTAAAATTCCAGGAAGAGAATCAAATTTATTTTTGAGTCCTCCTCATTCATCCAAGCTAACCACAAAAGTATTATGTAAAATAGCTTCAAATTTCAGAGACATTTGCATTCATATTTAGTGTACTATTTCCCCTGCAAAAGAGTCTATAATATTCTCCTTGTTGGATCGTTTCCACTGTAATGCTAGAAGATAAGCCAATTTTTCAGATCGATTGATTCAGAA